CTGGCCCCCACTAATTCACCCGCTCCCATTCTCGCCCGCTCTCATAATCTCTTCTTTCTTCCTCGGGCGCTATCCCTCACTCATTCTCCCTTCTCCCCCCCCTCTCTTCCTCGCCTTCTCATTTTCCCCCTCCCTCTCTTCCTCGGCTTCTCATCCCCTTCGCTGCGTCTCCCTTTCCTTTGCTTCCTTCCTCACTCTCTTACTCGTGCCTGCGATTACGTGCGCATCGCATGTGTTATTACTCAAATATGTACGTATGTAGTTCTACAATATAAAAAGCGTCACCTATCGGGCGATTTCGCCAAAATGTCCATTTGATGCCAGTGTAATTTAAAACACAATTGGAATTATGAAATGTTATTCATTAATAAATGTAATATGTTATTTATTATATTGAAGGCTTGTTCACCGAATGAATTGCTAAAACCCGTAAATAAAGCAGCCGCGGTTTTGTGTGCTGGTTGGCCTACCTGCTTGCTATCCACAACGGTATAGTCGCCTGAATTCGGCACTGTTCCGAAGTATTAAAAAAATAACTTTACTAACACAACTTGCAGTCACACCGAATAAGTACTCATTATACCTGCTTCATTAAATGATATATGACTGCACCAGAGGTTGCTTTCACCTGTTCTACTAACTAATAAGGTATGTACTTTCGAGTTTGATATTCGTAAATATATGTTTCAGCAATCCATTCGGTGCAATGGCTTTATCACTGGTAATTGATACTTTGTTGCTGAAACATTGGAATAATTTGCTTTATTAAATATATCAATTGGATCGATTATCTTCTTCACTTTGAGGTAACAACAAATACACTGTTAAAAAAAACTCAAGTACCATATTTTAATAATACACAAACAATTTATTTACATAGCATTCCTGTTACATTATATATTATATTAATATCGAGTTGTGGTATTATATACATCACCTCAAACATAGCAATAAATAAAACCAGGTAAAAATTTTAGGGCCACCTTCATACTGGCATCAGTTAAACTGTCTACGTCACGAATTTCGAGCACCAGCAAGTAGTATATTTGTGTGTTATTAGGTTTCAACTATAAATTTCAGGAGATTCGTGACGTAGACACTTTAATACAATGAAAGCTTATATTGTCTAAAAAATAAATAAAAAGTATAATAAGATATACATATATAGCGTATTAAACATAAAAGAAAAGGCTCATTTATGTTATCTATCAGTGCTGGCTATACTCGGGAGCGTCGCTCCCCGTGCCTAATCGCTCTTGGGCCGAGTCTATCCGAGAGCGGCATGACGCTGCGCGTTCATTTACACACGGCCAGGCCTGGTATCCATATCTTTGGATTGCACAACCTATGTTAATCATAGCCATTAAAATGAATATAATAAAGCAAATAAACCACATCATTATTTAACTTATGAGTCAAATTAAAAATAACCTGCATTCATAAAAAAAAGGAAAGTTGTTGGTAGCATGATAGCGAGAAGGCAGCCATACAGCTGATGGCCATGGCAAAAAAGACATAGAAATGAATAATTTAGCAATAATCACATGCCAAATGCAGTTACACAACAACACAGTTACAAAAGCTTCTAACCAATTTCTGGAAGTTTGTACACGTGCCAACCTAAAGTGCAGTACTGTCCGCACCAGAAGCTGCTGCCGCCAGGCTTATATACTGAAGTTATGACAGTTACTGCCTCACTAACACTTACAGTTAACATGAAACTTATTCACTTTACTATTTTCTGGCAGTTCGTACACGTGTTAACACAAAACATGGTACTATCACCAGCAGAAGAATACGGAGTCGTGGAGACGCATATCATTCGACTTCGTGAAGATGTGTACCATCCGAGCTGGTGGAGACATCATCCGAGCTATATAAATATACTATGGAAAATATACATTATTATTATTTTGAGCGTTTTAGGGTTGGGAATATTTTCACTTTTTTTTGTGGGATACATGGAAATATTGCCACTCTCTGTGACTAAAAAATTCGGATGGCTCATGCTGTCTTACGAAAAAACTACGGTTTAGCTTAATTCATATTATTAACTATTAATTATTTAATTCACTAGTCTATATATATATACTATATATATATATAGTCTTGATATATATATATGTGCATTCTTGCATTCATCCTTGTAAGATTCTATAAAATGATTATTTGAAACTTTCAATCTGCTGTATTTTCCTCATGTTAGCTATGTAAGTCAATACAGTTTAATTTAAATTGAGTTGATTTATCGTAGTGGCTTATCTGTTGCGGTCATATTTGTCCTAAGTATGTTTTTAGTATTTAAAGGAATAATAGGTTCATTGATTATGCAATGTTAACGAATGCTAGAGTAACTGGCACCGTGTGTAGTTTTCAAACCGCTGACTGCGAAGAGGGTGTGATACAGATTTTTAGTGCACCGGACATTTTCGCACGCATGCTCGGCCGTACGCAATGCTATATCAATCAGTGATTTCGTAAACACGGACGCTCGTAATAAGGAACTTTTTGTCAGGGCTGTCCATGTACGTCCGTGATTAGTAAGTGTGTTTTACTCCATTTCCATGTTTAGTCCGTGGCCGTGGTTACACCACTGACACCTCCATTTCATCTGGCGTCCAAAACATACGGGCCGCACAAATGTTTACGTCATCGGCGACTTATCGCTCGACTCCTGATGACATTTACGGCATGTAATGAAATATCAACAACCGATTTTAAGTCTTGCTTGTAATGTAACCAGCAGTGATATTGGACAAACTAATACGCATTTGGCTATAAGGTAATGTACGTACTTATTAACTACACAATGAAGGTGCCAGTTACTCTAGCATTCGTCAACATTGCATAATCAATGGACCTATTATTCCTTTAAACCTTGTTTTCTATGAGAATGCACACATATACACGTCTTCTCACATTACTATGGCTAATATATATATACAATGTAATATGTAATACAAATAATGAAAAACTAGGTAGCATATAACAGAGGACAACATTCACCTTCCATGAATCCTGGCTAGATTTTCTCTGTAGAGATTGCTTTCAATGGCGCGTCATTGTTTCTGATGCTGACGACTTCACAGATGGTGGACAGCATCATTGTACACGTCAGCTGATACATCGGTCTTCCGACCTACCGCAAAACAATGACACGTTTGATTATTCTCCATCAATTTTGCATGTGTCCAGAACTCATGAACGACCGATACGTGTAAAACATAACAAAGGAGAAATGTGCTCTTCCTAAATTTTGATCGTATCAATATTTAAAAATATGTTACTATGAAAATATCTACGCGGTTATATATTGCTGCATGAACTTCAAGCATTAATCGTTTTTACACGGTTTAATTCAGGCACTCACATATTTAACATGTTAACTGTTACAATAAATGGAAAAAAACAATATCAGTAAAAAAATCCCTGATATTGGGGGTCTACCAGACAGCATATGTGAATAAAGAGAATGATGGCTTCAGACACAATCTAGGAGGGTCTCTGCCCAAACACACCTTGTCGACTGTCGACAGTCTCCAGTCTGTGTACGGGACTGCTGACTAGCTTCTGTACGTGTGACATCAGGACAGCAGCAGGAAACAGCACGTGTCGAATCCGCAGAGCGATATAGCTTGCTATCCTGCAGTATAGCTCCATGGTCGACACGTCGCTCGCCTGCCAATTAACGCAAAACATTATCAGATTTCATTTCATTTGCGCTCGATTGCCTCCCAGCTGATGATCGATGTACCGGAGAGAATGCGTTATTAACAGCTTTTGCCTGTGTGTACAGTCAAACGCGCCACTCGATGGAGAACGCGGAAAGTGTGCTTTATAGACAGGTGTCTGTTATGTAGTGGTGGCTTTAATGTATGCTCACCAATCAAAGGGAATGCCAAAAGTTTCCTTTATAGACTGGGGCCTGTTGTTAGAAACAAAATTAGACTTAACATTAACTATTTCTCACAGACGTGACCTCTATACACTGTGTACAAGAAACTCACGTTTCTGTCAATCGTCTATGAGAAACAAGTGCCACAGAGCAAATGGGCTCATCTGAGGTCTGTTGCTACGGTTATAAACATAACATTGCAGTCGTGCGTAGTGACACATTTGTTAGGCGCAGATATGCAGATACGCAGTTGCGTACACATCATTTCAGCAACCTCTGCATTCTGCATACCTCCCAAATCCCATTGGTTGATACAAATCGCGTGCCTGAAACTCCTGTTTTATGGTGCATTGTGACCCTAACCCTAACCCTATTAAAAAAAATTGTTGTAAATAAATTATGTAAATATTTGCGTTAATTGGGAAAAAATAGTTAAATGAATAAAGATAGAAAAATACAGAAAAGAGGTAAATAATAAAAAAACTGATGGGATTTGATCCAAGGACCTTTGCGCCGTAATCCTGTGCTGTACCCGTTGGGCTATCTGTAAATATTGGCTTTCTAGATTATGGATGTGCCAGAGAACACTGTGACATCATTGAGGCAGTTCAGGAATCCATGTTTAACCTTCCTCTTGAGGGTTGAAAATGTTATCAGACACTTACTCTAAGCACGTCAGTGGAAAGCACATTTTATGGTCCTTTCAATAAAGTGATAAAAATGGTAGGTCAGTTTTCCACTCTGTCCGTTAGGCCATGTCCTCAGAAAATGTCTGACATCTGACCTTTCCCCCACTGCCCTTTGACCTCCAATTTCGCACTGGTGATGGGTTTCCTGCCCAATACACTATACACCGAACATTAAGAGCATAGGTCGAGCCGTTTAGATTTGTGCCGCAATTCTGCATTTCCTCCCTATACCTTAAGTTAAGGAGGGAATGTTCCCCCTTCTTTTACACCTCTTGACCTTTGACCCTCAGCTTCAACATCCCAACTCGTTGTCGGACATTATCCCCTGTACGATCCGATTTCGAATCCGTACGTCGAGCCGTTTAGATTTGTGCCCAACTGTTACGGAAGCCGACGCACGCACCGCACGCACGCACGCACGGACAATCATGCGATTACAAGCTGCATCTGACTATGTCAGATGAGCTAAACACCAAAACATCCACATGTACTCTCACACGATATGGTGTGTTAGTTTCTACCCCGCAGCTGCCTGAAATCTCCTCAATCCATAAGATCTTCGGACTTCGTCGCCAGAGTATGTGAAGGAGACTTAACGGTAACGAATGCTGAGGTCAGCCTGGGAAGCTTCAACTTCTCATATTCTGTGAAATTTGTTGTTCAGAATATTAATATCTGCTTCGAGCTGAAATATTCTTTTCTTGGTATGGAAATTATCTGCGTACTGCACATGTGCACATACAGTGTAAGCACGTTCTAAGCGATGGTTGGGGTCCATAAAAATGTCATTGCGGAAAAAGCGAGGTCGCACTAAATAGGGGTTATATATATAAGTGCTATATAAGAGCAAAAAAAGCGGTCCAACGACTATCGCATTATATCCGAATTCGCTTTAAGCCGCACTTATGCGCATCCAAACGCTAATTTCTCCAGTACTAGACTAGGTAATACTTCGTGTCATGCATAATCACACTACTTATGACAAAATAAACTCTAGTTCCTCCATTTCACTGCGCGTTGTCTTATAAAGGCATTGAAAATACCTCCAATGTTGTTCAAATTCTCCGATGTTGTTGACACTTTCGCGTTGCTCTGCCAAGCAACCGTGAGCGGTGCTGGTACAGTGGAACAGTTCTTATCGCAGAAACAGTATGGCACGAACTCGTCTAATAAAACACGAAAAGCATCAAGTCAGAATTTAACTGCAGTAGGTCAATCTTTGGGGGCAGTGGGGGTTTGTGTAGTACCAATTTTGAAAACATTCATGCTACAAACTATTATCAATGCTTGGCGACATAATAGTTTCCTGATGTACCAAATAAATCAAACATTCTATTTAGTTTTCACAACACTGCCAATGAAGGCAGTATAGAAAGTAAAACTTTACGAAAATAATTAATATTATTAACAATACAAATAGCTATGCTTTTAATCACTACTGATATAAACAGTACTCATGACAATGCCTGGAGTTTGAGAGCCTGTGATACACGCGTTACAAAATAATGTGATCATATAGCTTGTGTGACTGGATTACATGAATGCATGGTATTGCTACCACTTGTAAGCTGGGGTTAATAGTAAACATCGGCTAGAACTTTGAATCACCTGCTTTACTTAGGAAGCGAGTTGTGCTCCGTAAGCGTGACACGTAGGAAAGGCACTGCTCAGTTTCTTCTTCTGTGGTGGCAGCGGCACCCTACTGCCATTTCCCACTCCATAACACCTGTAATTAGTTGTTAAAATGCAATGCATCAAAATATAAATGATATTTATTTAGAAAATAAAGTCTGCAAAAAAACATGCACTTGTTCACTGACGGCAATCAAATTTTAACATTGATATACCTTGAATATAATTATGATCATTGATGACAATAGGCTGAAATTAATGAAAACGTTTTAATGTAAATATGCTGTATATTTACTACCATTATCAGTTCATAACATACCAGCCAATGCCACGCATGTGCATTGGCACGCATAACAGTTAACACTCAGGAAAAGTTTCATATACATGACCAAATCACGCACCTCCTCAGAGGAGGTAGCCTTTCTCTGGTGCCACGGCCAATAGCGGCACATCACATCTGTGCAGTAGAACTTGCTGGCATTTTTACTGGCAACAAAATATCTGTAGGAAGAGGGGGGTACGCGAAGACCTCGCGCCTCGTCATACTTAAACTCACTGCCCATCATAATGTTACGCCGGCAGGCCACAACTTCTAGTCCTGTCTCGTCCAGTGGTCTACGAGATGAACTGCTCACTCTGGCAGCAGTCCAATCACGTGCAGGCTAATATCATTGCCTAACAAAACAAAGCCTGGTTATAACAATATCTCAGAATACATTTTTGATGCCAGTGATTTACTGTGATTATACAATTCAGTGTGGAACTATATAACCTGATAACTGTGAATTTGTGATTGACAGCATTTATCTTCAAGGATGTGTTTAGTGCAGACTATGGCATCCTATGCTATACAGCTAGGTTAGACATGGACAATGAATCCATTAGGGTCTACTGACTATGTACAGCGATCTGTGTTAAACATCGAATTTTATATGTAGAGGAGTAGAGTATATTTTATAAAACAGTATAGTATACCTTTTCTTTACTGGATGGAAAACTGGTTTCCTGCACCACATTACTATCTGCAACAAACTTCCTCTCAAAGTATGAAGTTCCCACACCTCTGCAATAAATAATATGGGTGGTATTAGAGTAATTTATTCACAGTAGGTTCATTTAATTATCTGTTCATGTCTTTAAAAACTGATGTCCAACAATTTCATCTGTTGTAAAATATATTAAAATGGAATGTGGGGATTACTATAATTCAAATATACACTGTTGTGCTCTTCTTTTGACCTCTACTATTTTCTACCCTATACTATCATATAGCTATTATAGGATTGTTTTATTTATATTAATTATTATAATACATTTACGATTACACATTAATTTAAATTACAATACATATCGTGTCATGTATTGATATAAAGTAAAAAATTATGTAAAAGCAACACAATGGTCACTTTGGAACATTTGCAAAATGGCAAAGTTTCATGTTGCCATCAGCATGTGCAGCATGCTGAATGTGTGATGGGGTCGTAGCCGTTGGCCGTAGACGGTAGGGCACCACTGCCACTGGCACTGCCGCTGAAGGGGTCGTTGTCGTATCACGTACTACAGGTATGTACCCGAGGTACATATGATATATGTATACACAAAGTGTACCAGACTTGTACTGCCAAAGTGCTCTAACCCTCCCTAAACATACCTCATATAAAAATATAACTAATACTAAACAGCTTAAACGACCTCGGGTACATATATCTGTAGTACCTGATACGACAACGACCCCATCTGCTGCACTGCCACTTGTCTAAACCAGGTCCATACTTTAGCAAGTCATAAAAACTACAAATTTACAAATGCACTAATGCAGATGGCGTCGTTGTCGTATCAGGTACAGGGGCGTGTACAGGATTTATACCAGGGAGGGGGAAGTCTAACTGTAACCCAAACTTGCGAGCACGCGAAGGGGTGGTCTGGGGGGGGGGCACTGCCAGAAAAATTGTAAAATTAGACCCCCTCAGATGCGTTTTCTGCGCGAGCAGGGGGGTTCAGACCCCCTGGATCCCCCCTGTACACGCCCCTGAGGTACTACAGATATGTACCCGAGGTAGTTTTAGGTTGTTTAGTATTAATCTATTATGTTTATATTTTTATATGAGGTATGTTTAGGGTTATAGGATTAGGGTTAGGTTTAGGGTTAGGATACACTTCTGTAGTACAAGTCTGGTACACTTTGTGTATACATTAGCTCTAAAACTATAGCCCTCCGCTCTGCCGGAGGGCTATATAGTTCTAGAGCTATATGTATACATATGTGTACCTCGGGTACATATCTGTATAGCTCTAGTACTATAGCCCGCGTATAGCCCGTATAGCCGTATAGGGCGTAGCAGGCAGCTGCGGGAGTCAATGTACGCGAGCTATAGTGCTAGAGCAGAGAGGGTCTATGTCCCAGGGTACTGCCTAGAACGGTACCCTGGCCTGGGTGGATCGTACGGGTCCGGTATACCGGAACGTACCCTGGTACTAGTAATAAGCCGGACCGTTCCTCGCCTACTCCACTAACGAGTCTAGGGAGTCGCCTAAGCCTACTCCCTAACCCTAATCACTAAACCCTACTGCATGATCAAATGTGACTCCAGGTACGTTGCGGCGCGCACCCATGGTACGGCTGCGGCAGTAACGGGGTGGGACATAGCCCCTATGTAGGCAGTACTAGCAGCTATATCTCTACTGAGTAGCCTATCTCTCCCTAACTGTGATCTACGTACGGTTATGTAGCCTATAGCTATGGGAGCTAGAGCGGGATAGGGTAATTATCTGCTACTGTAGTAGGCATGCCCATGACAGTGATACGACAACGACCCCTTCAGGCTGCACGTAACTACGGGAAATAACGAGACAGTTTACATCGGTACATGGAGGGCGGCTCTCTTCCATAGATTTCAAAGGAGCTTAATAAATACTCTAATACCGTAGTGTTTCATTAGCTCTTTTGATTTAATCTGCACATAATATTAATAATAATATAGCTATGCAGTGAACTTCAAATTTGGATTAATGTCCAATTCAGCATTATTTTTAGGTATGACACTAGTTCGTGACCACCATACCTGATGTGACCGTCGCGCAGTGTTCTATTTGTCTCAGGTGCATATGGCTCAGAACGAAAACTCGGACTTCAAGAAACTCACGAAAGTCGCGATATGTCGTTTCAGGTCTCCATTAGTTTGTGAGCGTATTTTATCGTGTGCAGTGATATCTTTCTATGTTCTTATGTATGGCGAGTATGTCAGTGCAGAATGATATCTTTACGCATATCGTACGTAACTGTATCAATTTTACTACTAGTCTACGCAAGTCGTGGGTACGGAACAGAAAATGAAGGACCGAAACCTGGTACCGTTGGCTGATGACGGTGAAAAGCGCACCTGTTTCAGGCTGTTGTTGCGGGAGTTGAAAACGACCAGTGAGTTCACATGCCTCATAATTTTAATACTTACATTACTGTATCCAGTATAGGCCTGCCTGCCTATACATGATATTGATAATAAGAAATACACACTTCCCACTCATCTAACATATACACTTTACTTGAAAAAGTTATCAAAAGTCTAGGCCTACCAAATTTGTGTTTTTACAATAACAACTATAAAGGAGTGGTGCAGTGGTTTCAGTGAACCAAACTTTCACGTCCCTATTGAGTATTGTCACTGACACAGTCAGATGTGCTCATAGGATCTATGCCCCCCAGGGTACTGCCGGAACGTACCCTGGGTACAGTCCAGTATACCGGAATGTACCCTGGTCACGGTTAGGGAGTAGGCGTAGGCGACTCCCTAGACTCATTAGTGGAGTAGGCGAGGTACGGTCCGGCATATATTAGATAGTAGATACAATAATGTAACCCAAACACAGGATGACCCCCTATCCTGTGTTTGGGTTACATTATTGTATCTAATTAGATAGTACCAGGGTACATTCCGGTATACCGGACCGTACCCAGGGTACATTCCGGTAGTACTCTGGGGGGCGTAGACCCTTTCAGCGTCAGATGTGTCAGGCTAAAACACAGTCTGCAGCGACAACGACAACCCGTAACGTTTAGCGTTAAAGTCACTTTGACTGACCTGGCCCAGCCACATTGCAGTGCAGGCGTGAACGACTGATGTACTGTTACACAGGCACTTGGAACAATTCAGCCTACAGTCACACCACACACGCCGCGGTTCATGGATATGCGCTGCATGACCACAATTCATTTTTGCAATGTGCGACATGTCACAAATGTGCAAATGTTGACAGCTCTTATATCCTTGGGCCTACGCCGCTGCACATTTACACACATATATATGTGCAGCGGTGTGCGTGTGGCGTGACTGTAGGCTGAATTGCTCCAAGTGCCTGTGTAGGCCTACTGTTAGGTCAAAGTTAATCTGTCTTACTATACAATGAAAGACATATGTAAACTTGAGACTGCTGAATGTTAAATCGCCATTCATTTAGAAGTCATGTGGTAAGGATTGCCAAATGTTTGCTTTTAGCTGGAAACTCTTGATTATACTAATTCCCCCAAATCTAATCAAACTGAATTTGCATGATTGCATGAATTAAAATTGGTCTGCTCCTCAGACACTTGGGCCATTTCAATAATAAAATGATAGTGAATAAACATGGATTATAATTACTAAGTGAAAGATATATGATACATAGATTTTAATAGTAATTGGGAAAATTACAAGTACAACTTGAACAATATGATTAATACACACAATTCAGCGTAATAAGTTAATTCTAACCCTGGTTAACCCTGCATGGTTAACCCTGGTTAACCCTGCTTAACCCTGGTTAACCCTACTGGTTACCTGGATTAAAAAAAAAAAGCCCGGTTAATTTCTACCACTGGTTTCAATGCCTGAGCTACGTTGTCTGCCACCGATTCTTGAGCACTGGCTGGGCCCCGACGGGGTGAACTGCTCCCCTACAGCTCTGCTATTTAGCTTCGAGAGTGCAGCTGTGAATTGGCTACATTTACGTAGCAGCCTATTAAACACAACTGCCCAATTTACTCCTTCAACATTGTGCATGACTAAACTAATTTCTCCAGAATAAATTCTAATGTACAACACGTGACTTACATATGCCCAGTAATCGCACTGCAACACATATCTCCT